ATATATATATAGTTTAAAACTTAAGCTATAATAAAATTTTGTTTAAAACTTAAGCTATAATAAAATTTTGTTTCCCTATTTTGTTTAAAACTTAAGCTATAATAAAATACATTTTTAAAAACTGACATATCTTTGTGGTTGATCAACAAGCTTATATGGCTCACATATTTTAACATATATTCCCAACATGCAAATATTTCTTGTTATAGATACCAGAAATTCCACTTGTCTATTAAAACTATCTTCTAATTCATAAAGAAAGAAAAAAAAGAAATCATCCCATCCCATTAAAATGTAATAAAGTCTCACCTAGGACGCCTAAAACGGTCTTCCCGATCTAAGTCACGGTCTTTGTCAAATTCTCGTTCTTTTTCATTTTCATCACGGTCTTTATCTTTGTCCCATTCACGATCTTCTGAAGGTCTGGAATCCCGGGGAGGTCCCCAGCTGTCTTCTCGAGCCTTTTCACGTTCTCTCCACCCACCTAGCCAGCAGCAAAACATCAATTTTTAAAGGCTAATTTCAATAGTGTGTGGAACATCTTTCCTGCATTCTTTAGCTGAATTCCCTATTTTCCCATCATTCTTGCAATGTCTTTTGCCACACCCCACAATTGTGCAGAACCTGATTGGTAGGACTAATGTTTGGGAGCTGACAGATCTGTCATATGGGAAAACTGGAAAACTTTCATTCCAGGCGTATATTCTAGGCTGCTTTTTTCCAATCAGCGGTAAAGCAATGAATATATGAAAGCAATGGAGAAGAGAGCTAAATTTAGTGGCTTTCAGGTTTAACAAGTATGAAACATTTCAAATAATTTTTAAAAAAATTGTTTTGCACTTTAATTTAAATCTGTCTATAATAAATACAGTATTTTTCTTTCCATAAGTCACACTTTTTTCCTCCCCAAAGTGGGTGGAAATGTCTGTGCATCTTATGGACTAAATATGGGTGACAGGCAGCAGCAACAAACAGCGGCAGCGATCCCCGCTGCCTGGAACAGCTGATCGGTGGTATTCTGGGAGGGCAATCCAACCACCTATCAGCTGCTCAGAGGCAAAGGCTTCAGCATTCCCTGGTGGAGGCAGCAGACAGCGAGGTGGCAGGATGTCTGCTGCAAGGACGCTAGCCAGATGAATACTGGATGGATGCTGGGAGGCAGAGGCAGATTTTTTTTCTCTTCTTTTCCTCCTCTAAACCTAGATGAGCCAAGGTGGCGCAGTGGTTAAATGCAGCACTGCAGGCTACTGCTAGATCAGCAGTTCAGCGGTTCAAATCTCACCG